CCCACCCCCACCCTACGTTCACCACTGCTCCGGCGACAGTTTCGGTGGCCATTCTACTCCAGCATAACCGGCGAATACTCCGACGACTATTCCGACGACCAGTGACAGTGAGTACTCCGGTGACCGTTCCGCCGCCGATTAATTCCGACGACTTCTCTGATTCCTGCAATTGTTAAGGTTACAGTTATATATCATTTGGTCACAGATATCTAATTAATTAGATAAAAATTAATTTTCAGTCACAATTTATCAAATTATTGGTTACAGAATATTTCGAGGTTACAAATCAAAAAATATTCGGGTCACAGTTGACATCATTGGTCACTGATCAAAAAAATTATAGGTCACAAATGTTTAATTGGTCATAAGTTAAAAAAAATTATAAGTCACAGAAATCACATATTTCCAAATTTGTTGGTCACGGATTATATTTTCAGTCTCAGATAACGAATTAAGGTCACGGACCATATAGTTGGTCATATACACTCAAACACTCATCCCCCAATCTCAGTACACCACCAATGTTTGCTCACATATCGACCAAATGGTTAGTCACAAACACTCTCCATCAACCCCGCCTCAACACCTCCACAACCACAAGCACAACAATAACAAAAAACGAGGATGACGACAACCACCACCACCACATTGACCACCACCACAGATCCATACAAGTTTATCACCACCACACGAACACAAACTAACCAGCCACAACACCTCCACCGCACACCCACTGTACCTCCACCACACACACACAACGCACACCCACTAAAAAATCAATAGTAACAAAAAAAAGAACTGTAAGAGACGCTGTGAGAGTGGCCTAACGACGTTGTGAACGGCAGCACCTCAACCACAACCTCACATAGCCGCCCCACACAGAACCTCCACCCATATCAAAGACCCACACAGTACCGCAACAGATTTTACCAGTAAGATGAAATCTACCAAACCCACCAACTATTTTGAGACATTCTCTCTGCAACAAACCCACCTGCACCAGCTCACATCCGCCACGCTACTGCCAGTCGAAGCCCCACACAGTGGACGGCCCACATAGTCGCTGNCTCTCTGCAACAAACCCACCTGCAACAGCTCAGATCCGGTGCGCATTGCTATGGGCAGTGCCGCGCGCGCAGTGCCCCTCTCGACGGAGCTACGATTTGGGCAGAGGGGGGAATGAGAGACGGTAGTGAGAGAGTGGAGTGAGAGACGATAGTGAGAGAAAGTGAGAGAAATGAAATTGATTAATGTAGGGTTTGGATAGATTTAGGGTTATATATAAAATAAAATACTTGATTTTTGAATAGATAAACCTTAAACCTGATTTTTTTAAAATTCACAACTAAACACCTGATTTTTGGTAATAATCTCTGGATGTAATTTCCTTCTTTTAAAACCATCAAACCCATCCAAGCCCAGCCCTTTCAATGATAGGTATAAGCCCAAGCTGTGGTCTACTGTTGAGTGTCAGGTTGGTTCAAACTTCAAAGAGCCGATATATTTTTCAATTTTTTTACATACAATTTAAATAAATAAATAAATCAAACTTTAAGCATGCAGGACTATCTTCCATGCTTATAGATTATTTTATTACTTTTCTACATTGAAAATTGAATCTTAATTTAAAGAATCTATTGGAACATGATTTTACATGTTGACTCTTTAAAATAGAGAGCATCTCATGTTTAAAGAGTCTGTTGGAGATGCTCTAAGTAATGAACATACTGCTTTATATCTCCATTGTTTGGAAAGCACCAGTGATTAACTTTCATGAGGCAG